CGGTTAGGAGTAGATCACGCAGTGCATCAAAGACAACCACTTAGTTCTTATACACGCGAATATCATTCATAAGCTTACGCTCTCTGTGACCCTCATGGATATTGCCTCTTCCATTGCAGCCCTTTTTACCCAATCAACGGACTTTGTGTGTCCTGCCGTCTGTCTGTCGTACGAAAGCTCGACACAAGCGATTCAACAACTTTAGTAAGACCTAACTGCCCTTTTGTGAGCCAGCGTAGGACGCATGACCTATTTTTTCTCAGCAAAAAATTTGACGAGACGAAAAATATCTTGCTTTTAGTATGGTCTGGCACTCATTGAGATGTGACAAGCATTCGTAACACGGATGTCTTACGCTGAAAAGTCGCATTCTATTGGGGGAAATGCGGCATGTACCATGACAGCGATACTGTGGCCCCCGTTCTTGCATACAGCAGCTTTCAAATTGTGACTCAATCGGCGGCTTCTAACATATTGCACATTAATGTGTAGCTTGACCAGTAGGGGCTCTATAGATTGCCGACCTGCATGAACGAGTATTGCATCATGGTTACAATAAAAACGGACCGTGATGCTTTTATCTGCGCTACATACTTTTGAAGCTCGTCTCTAAACCGATACATAAATCATTGAAGGATCAGAGAGCTGCACAATGCACCCAGCGGCAAAACAGCACAATTTGTTGATTATGTAGGTATGTTTCTATGTGTAGCACTTACGACATCATTAACGAAGAAGGCGAATCCTATTCGTACAGGAAATAGCCATTTTTCACATTTAAATCTATCACAACTGGCAAACAAACTTTAACAGTAACAACAAAGCATCCACTATTGTATTTGATCGTTTTCGGTCTGAAAACCAGTGTACGATTTATTGAATATCACATCGGTTGTTCGAACTGAGAGCTCACTTTATACTCACCTACCATTTAAATATAAAACCGACGGCCGAACATGTCAAGAAGTGTGCACAGATCCCACAATGTATCCACCATCAGATCAAATAGCGATTTTCTATTGGCTCCCGATTGAACAGAACTCGGTCAAAACCTCCTAGCAAGCACTACCCGTCATTTGCTGCTATCACTGGAAGTGGCCATCTCTAGGTTTCAGCCAGCCATCTTTGGCGACAAA